TTGAACATCCATCATAATATCACAGTCTTGGGGAGGTTTTAATAATGTTTCTTTCTCAACACTTGCCCCTTAGAAGAATCTCATCATGTAGCACAGACCTTGCTGTCTCTTAGGTATTTGCACACAGGCACTGCTTCGCGTAGCTTGGAGGTTACGACCGCCTACATTTCAATCTGATATCCTTCAGCTTAGACTCCTCAAAGCCTATATGCTGTGGGCTTTGATCTTATCAGTTTGACAGACACAGAAAGTTTTCCAGAAAGTGGGTTTTGTATATACATTAGTATGAATATATAATAGAATGTTCATAGGAATAGTTAAGATGGCTTTCTATATTACATTGTGCCTATTATTTTTATAATTAAATCTAGTCTTAGTTGTTTTAGGACAGGGTTTCTCTACAGGTAGAGAATGCCAATACACGCAGTATTGGCATTTTGTGCTAGACGAGACTTAGTTACAGGGCTGTCCTGTGTAATAGCATGTTTAGCAAAATACCAGTGTCTGTCTGGTAAATGTCATTTTGCAGGCACTCTGAAGTGTCTCCAGATACAACGAAATGCTCCCCCCACCCCAACAGAGTCAACTCTTGCTGAGAAACACTTTTTTGGAAGTATGAGGAATAGCATACTTAAACATTAGGCTTCCTGAAGAACTGTACAAGTTTTCTAGGACAGTTCCTCCCCATCTTCCAGTTGGTGCTATTTAAGGTTCTGAAGGTGCTGATAGACACTCGTAGGATCGTGGAATCTTTGCACTGGAAATGCAAAGTGTAAGCACCTCTTGACTCTCCATTCTGTTATTTAAAACAGACCAAGGAGGCTGTTAAACTGAAGAGTCATATAAAGTGTGCTGTATAGGATTAATGGGTAGGAACTGCTCCTTAATATATGGACCTAAGATATGCATGTAAAAAGTAAATGCTAAATAATCACAACTCAGAGGAATTTACAATAGGGCATAGCAAAAACAAACTCCTTACTGTGACAGGAAGGGACTAATCAAGTGATTATTACAGATGAGAAAATTCATTCTCAGTCTACCTTGCTGCTTACGGCTGGTGGTTAGTAGATGGTTTTCATCAATGAGAAGCGATCCATTTCCAGGACTCTCAAAGAGAAGATGCCCATGGCATCTGAGTGAGCCAGCTTTTCAGGCCATATACAGCAGCCTGGCATCCCTGTTTCTGGTCAGAAGAATGTGATCCTGAGAAAGACATGCCTGGGGCAGGCAGATTTGGCTCAGACTCAAGGTCCAATCAGTTTTCTTTCAGGAACCTTTATAGACACACACAAACCCACCCATTTTTATACCCTGGCTTAAATTTATTGTTACAAGTCTCTGTTTCTGTGAGGTCCATAAATGTCACAAAATCTGCTTGTCAGCATGGTAGTCAGTCTTACTCTTGTTGATTTAAGGAACCGCCTAGGTTGAAGAGATATAATTCACCCCTCAGGCTTTATTTTGTGAGAATGACCTATTATACATTCCACAATCTGTAGAATTAGCTTGCCTGTGGTTTTGAAAGAATAAATTGAGAACTCCTGCTTTTGTGGTTTTATTTAATGTTTAGAAAAGTTCAAGTTTAATCTGGTAATTTGGAATGTATACATTTGACTGACTGGTTATATTTATGAAATTATAATTCTTTAGCAGCAATTTCAAACTCTGAAAAATTATGTGTGGGTTTTATTGTTCAGGGTCAGGCATGTTGGCAGTCAGTACCTGACAATGTCAAAGAAAGAATTTTTATACAACCCCTCAGGATATTTAACGTAAGACTCCCCAGAATAGTTGACATAAGAATCAACCAAGTAGTTTTTCTTTATCTCAGCCGTGCTTAAATGATTGAATCTGTAGCTACCTTTTTCTCCCTTAAACCTTGAGCAACTGGTTTAAATAAGCAGTTCTTACTTTATATTTTTTTAAAGTATATTGCTTGGAAAAGAGCTTCAGCATCTCCTGGGAACTTGTTAAAAATAATTCCAGGGCTCAGACCCAGGTCTACTGAATGGGTATGGCTCAGTGGTAGAATACTTGCTAAGCATGTGCAGGGTCCCAGGTTCAAACCCAAACATGGATAAAGTGTGTGTGTTTTGGGGGGTGGGAGAGACAAATACAAACACAATCTCTGTAGATAGGGTCCAGTAATCTGTATATAAATAAACTCACCAGATGAATCCCATGCATACTAGGATTTGAGAGACATTTGTTTATATTGTCATAATTGTTGGGACATAACTTCCTATGTCCCAGCTTTAATACTATTAAAAGGGCCTGGCTTGTCTAATAAGTAGAGATTGTTTGGTTAGAAGCATATTGTATCTCTTTTGAAATATGAAATCTCAGGTTGGGGTGATGAGTCAGTAGCTAACGTGCTTGCCACACAAGCCTGAGGACCTGAGTTCAGATCCCAGCACCCACAGAAAAGCTAGTCTCTGTGACACATGCCTATAAGTCCTGCATTGGAGATGGCGGTGGGGCCAGGACGATCCCTGCACCTCATTACCTAGCCATCCTGACCAAACTGATGTTCTCTAGGTTCATTGAGAGACCCTGTATCAAAAAGTCACTTGGTGAGACATCAAGAAAGACACCAAATGTGGCCCTCTAGCTTCCGCAGGCATGTGCATACAAGGACGCACATACATGACCACATACCAGCTGCACACACAATAAGAAGTCTACATTTCTGACATATTAAAAAAATGCTGGAATAGTCAGTCTAACTGAGTTGGAACTGAATTACAGAGATTTTGCTAAGGCTGAGTTCTTTCATGTTCCTTCTTCCTTTCATGCAATAATGCAGTGCTTGTAGCAAAACTCCAGTCTGCTTCTCACAGGCCAACAAAGAGAGCTGAAGTCTAACGGAGTGTTGGCCATTAGAGCCGCCTCACCTGCTGCATGAGTAGGCTTCTAGAGTCTGCACTGTGGCCTGGGAAACTAGAAACACCATGTTGTTATTTCATGTGCTTGTATTAGTTTCAACCCCAGCCTTCCAAACGATTCATTTCAGAGCTTACCTATAGGGTGTGGTGTTGGTTTGGATTTTTCCTACTATCCTTTAACAGAATATAAACATTCATAATTTGAGGTCAGCCATCATGGTTAATCTGTACCTAAACATGAATTCTGATAAGGACTGCCTATTCATTCACAGAGAATGAATAAACCTTTCAAAGACTTGTTTAAAAAGAGTAATCACTAAAATCTGAAAGACAAGAGAAGAACCTTATGGTGTCCATGTCTCCTCAGGGGAGATTTATAAGCAGAAAATGTATATATGTGTATATTTATGTTTGTATGTATGGTTTGGGGGCATAAAATCACAACTTAAAAGAATTACAACTTATATGTAACATAAGCACATATGGCTATTACAAGTGGACCTCACCTTTTTTCCCAAAATGTCAGGTGAAAATATTTTTAAATCACAGTTTTCAGTTGGTTCCTGGTATTGTTGAGAATACTTACCAGCAATCTGCCCCAGCCTAGCATAAAGTTTGGGTCTAAAATGTCTCCTAACGGACCATATATTGCAAAAGCTTGAGCTCCAGCCTCTGGTGATATTGGGAAGTGGTAGACTATTTAAGATTTAGGGAAAAGTGATGGAAGTTAAGTCATTGGAACCATGCCTTAAAGGAATTTGGAGCCCTACACCCTCCCCCCCTCACACACACACACACACACACACACACACACACACGCACTCTGGCTGCTTCCTGGACATCATGAGACAAGCAGCTTTTACACACCCCCCACTGAGATGTTCTGCCTTGGCATCAGCCTTGAGGCAGTGGGGCAGATGGACTGCAGTCTGAAACTATAAGCAAAATATGCTTCCCTCCTCGTTTTGTGACTGACAAATAATTCGCTGCAGATATTCTTTAGTGGTGGAAAATGGACTAACAGAGCAGTAGCTGTAATATGACCACTATAGAAATGGCTGCCTTCTTCCATATTTTTTATTTTTAATTATGTAAATATGTATGTACCTGTGTTTAGGGAGTGCATACTTGAGGGCAGTGCCCATAGAGACCAGATCCTCTAGAGCTGGAGTTACAGGCAGTGTGAGTCAACCAAAGTTGAATCCCCTGCAAGAGTGGTACACTCTCTTAACTGCTAATCTCTCCCTCTCAAGCCCCTGCAAGCCCACTTCTAAAGAGAAAAACCAAGAATTGTTTCATAATGCCTCTGTCTTCCACTTCAGTCTCTGTATCTGCAGAATGTCTGTCAAGACGGTAGAATTGTGGCACCCTTTAAAATATGTAAAGCTCCTTAACTAAGCCATAGCCTCTAAAGTGACAGCTCATAGCCCCAGCCAGCTATAGCCTCACAGAGGAGCCAAGCATCAGGTGAAAAGGAGGCATTTGGGATGGAATTGTCTTGGAAGTGTTTAAGTCGATACACTCTGCAGCCAGAGTTGACTACATAAAGTTCGCCTGGGAAAAGCATTACCCGTTTAGAGCAGCTTATTGTACTACATAGCTCGGTTACAAAGTAATGAAAATATGTTATACCAAGATGGCTGACATTCTGGGCATCTTACCTCCTCCTCAAGGAATTCATTTCTTACTGTTTTCTCATTTAGAGAGAAATCATTCATTATGATAGCAGTCTTATAATTCATGTTACCCATTTGGAGAAAATGCATTGTGCCTCTTGGGAATCAGAACTAATCATGTGATGACCCCTTCCTAGTGGCCAAATAAAAAGTTACGTATGCATTCGATTCCACTATTTCTCTGGAGACTTCCACAAGAGGAAAGAAGGTGGTTATGTTGTCATGAAGAGTAATGCATTCCCGAGTTGGATTTTAATGGGTAACTTAGCTCCAGGTTAGATTCTTTGGCAAAAAGGTCACCATTTTTAATATAGCAGGTCCCCAGTTTGGTCACCAGGAGAGTTAATCAAATAGCTGCTATAGTTCAAAAGTACATCTGCATTTGAATAAAATATGATTCATGTTAGAGAGCTAAACTTGACATGTTTTCCCCCAGGTAATAAAGTGGCTCTTAATGAAACAGAAGAATCCCTTTCCACAGCAAACATGCATGAAGGACACCTCACAGTCACATTTCTTCTTGGCAATGGTAGGGAACTTTTGACCTTCTCTGGGCTGCTTTCTTTTAATCATTCTTGGGTAATTTATCAACTGTTATTGAACCTGATTAGCAGAACAACCCATGCCTTATCAGTGCCACAAATGAAAGGGACAGAAGAATCTTGACGTTAGTTCTACTTCTGGGTGTCAGCAGTCTTGATTATACTGTTTCAAGTATTACCACTGAGACATGCTTTTGACTCGGCTTCCCTCTTCGTACCCCTTCTAGCCCTCCTTGCACCTGTACTTTAAACACTGAATAACCGCCAGTGAGACAGACAATCAGTACTTTTTCTGTTTGGTTGGTTGCTTAGTTTGGTTTGGTTGGGTTTTCAAGACAGGGTTTCTCTGTAACAGCCCTGGCTGTCCTGGAACTCACTATGTAGACCAGACTGACCTTGCGCTCACAGATATCCGCCTGCCTCTGCCTCCCAAGTGCTGGGATTAAAGGTGTGCACCACCATGCCGGGTGACAATCAGTACTTCTTATGGTCAAATGATATTGATGACTCAGTGGACTGACGACCAGAATATCTGCTTCTGTGGATCATTGCAACCGTTTAGTGAGGAGCCTCCTAGAAGTGTTAATATCTATGGAAAGCTAAAGCCATTTCCAGCTCTGACCCATTTCCTTGCTGTTAAAAATTTCGATGCAGTAGAACTTTGACATAACTACAGCCATAATCAAAATAGTGAATACTATTTCATGGCACCCCAAAATTCCTTCTTACTGCCTTTTCTAGTCAACCTCTCTTCCCATTTTCAGCCTTGGCAACCCACTAGATAGTTCTCCTTTTGTGTCATCACTTTGGATGTCCAAGTACAGGTTTTAAGAGAACATAACTTGCTGAGTGTTCCTCTGTGCGTGGAATTGCTGTGATTATTGCAAATGGATGTTTCACATTCTGTGGGGAACTCTGATTTCTAATCTGTGCTGTGCTGCATTCCCGTGAGCAGTTTGTGAGAATTCCAGCTGCTCTCACCCTCATCAACACACAGCATCGTTCATAGTATTTGCCTGGGACGAGGGTGTCTTGTTTTGTGCTGTTGCTTGTCTGAGCTGTGACTTACTGTTTAACCTTTTTAGTAATGCCATCTCATGGCTTTAATAGGATTTTTTTTTTCTGTGATGAAATCCAGTTTACTTTTTAGAAGATTGTATGGAATGTACTTTGGCATCATTCTGCTAAATTGCTGCTTACCCTCCAAGGTTACCATGATTTTCTCCTGTGTTTTCAACTAGAAGTTTTTTTACTTTAGCATGCATACAGGCTTTTAAAGTGAAATTTGTTAGCGTCTTAAATGGAATAGGCAACGAAAAGGAGAGGGTCTCAATATGTATGTTCCCTGGTCATCACTTAAGTAAGCTTAAAAAGCTTGAGTTGATATGCAAAAGTAATTTCATGACTAATATTAGTATAGCTTATAAGTTGCCCATGTAACCTTCAGACATTATTGAATAAGGACAGCTTGATTCTCCCAAAGTTAAAAATCATGCAAGTAGTATCTTATTTCCACAAATGCACATGATAAACATAGTTAATACATAGGCAAGCACCTTTTCAAGAAAGATTTTATATGTGTGGGTGTTTTGCCTCTGCATATACCTGCGCACCGTGTGGTTGTCATAGAGCCCAGAGGCCAGAAGAGGACATCAGTTCTCCTGGGACTGGATTGTTTTGAACTGCCATGTGGGTGATAAGGATAGAACCTGGGTCCTCTGGAAGAGCAGCTAGTGCTCTTAACCACCGAGTCATCTTCCAAACCTCACGTTTCCAGTCATAAAATATGTTTCTGACGCATAAATCGTTCCCTTATAGGTACCCTCATTTTTGTGGAAAACAAACACAGTCATTCCAAAACTCGAGACATAGTGTTCTTGGCATCTCACAGGCACAGGTTCTTATGTTTCCTTTCTTCTGTGCTCTAAACTTCCCTCATTTTCCTCCAACTGTCACTCATTAGTCACTATTTGTGCTTCCTGACTTGTGTCTTTTGGTCTTTTTACCCTGGAATTTTTTTTTCTCTCCTTCCATCGGCCTGCCCCTCTGTTAATACACTAGCTTACTACAGTACGATGATGGATTTCTTCCCTCTGTGCCAGTGAACTTCAACCTGTGGGCTGGGATCCCTTCTGAGGTCACATATCAGATATTTACATTATGATTTGTAACAGTAGCAAAATTACAGTTATGAAATAGCAATGAAAATTAATTTTATGGTTGGCGTTACCACACCATGGAGAACTGTACTAAAGTTTCAAAGCATAAGGGAAGGTTGAAAACCACTGCTCTAGACTTTATTTACTAAGACGGGTCTTTTGTTTTTCTTAGCTGATGTAAATGTCAACTTTTTTGGCCCTGTGGTTTATTCATTTAGATAAAAGATCCAGTCAAGGCACTGTTATCATGCATTAATCAGTCATGATTTTATATCTTCCAGGAAAATGGCCTTTAATGAGATAATAATGATTCAAACAGCACCAACAAGCAGCGTCATTGAGGATCCTGTTATCTATGTCCATGGGAGTAAAGCATTCCTGATTAAAGAACTATTACAGTTTACATAAGGTGTCTAGACATCTAAACATAGATACTTTTTAGTACATTCCTTTGTTTCTTTTGTCTTAAAGGACGCCTTATTGATTGGCTTACTAGATTTCTGACTTTGTTTGCCCTGCATGACTGATTTTATTAAATAGGGCTCAGCTGTATTTTCCCAATACTACAACTTGCATATCCATCCACAAACCAAACAATCCAAGGAGATTCAATTGCTTTTCCCATACAAAGTATTAGATATGATATCAAACAGAAAAATTTCCCATCCTTCTCACTTAATTCTTGCTAGTATTTTGAGTTCAGCAACTTTACACAAGTAATAATAATTGACTTAATAATAAACCTTAAAATAATCCACGGAGATGGAGACAGGAAGCTCTTTCTTAGTTCACCTCTAATGAAGTCAAGCAAAAAGAATAGGGCAGTGAAACATTTCTAAAATAATCCCTTTTGCTTAGGCATAACAGCATGGAACTAGGAGTTCCTCACTAGAGCTCTGTATTTGCTATTTGATGACTGGGTAATGCTATCGATGTGTAGCATTTGAGGGGAAAGTGCCTATCTAGGGAAACAGTATGCATGAATTCCCAGATGCATATGTGTAGTGTATGAACTTGTCATTCCAAGAGGATATGGAAGAGAAGACATCCTGTGACTCCCAGGAAGATGTAGACACACTGTTTTGTTGGCTGGGGATGGAACCCAGGACCTTGCCCATTCTGGGCACCCACACTGAGCATAACCCCAGGCCTAAGGACCAGCTTTTTCAGTACCATGTGGTAACAGAAACAACTGGGTTCTAGTCTCCATTCTCCATTCTTGCACTTTATACTAGTTAGCAGACTGTGAGGAACAACTTATCTTGTCCTTCACATTGTTTCCTGAGCTGTGGAAGGATGGAACTGTATTAAGTGATCTTTAAAGTGTCTTCCAGCTCTGAACAAACATTGAGGGGAGTAGGAGTTCTACTTTGCCTACTCCAGTCAGCTTTTCTCTTGGTCTGGTTGCATGCAGCCCCAGTTTCCCTTAGTTTCTCAGGGTTCACTGCTCCCTCTTTCTGGCTGCCTGTTTGAGCCCCATCTTTCTGTGTAATGCTTGCACCAAGGCAGTTGTCCATGAACTGTGAAATGAGGCCCCGTGCCTCTTCACCCACGTGGGCCCCCATGCAGCTGTTTGCTATTGGCTCTCCCCTCCCCCAAAACCAAATTTAATTGTCCTGTTTCTAAGTCTTTATAAGACAGTCCAGGGAACATTAGCTCATTGAAAATAATTGAAAACACCTTGTACAAGAGGGCAGCTGGGGATGCAAGCATGGGATTCAGTGAGGCTGATCAGTTTTTAGGGAAGAAGTTATTCATCTACCAAGTAACATTTTCCAACAAATCTACACAAAGCAGTTCCGGAGGCATAGAGGTTGGAAGCATGGCAGAGCCGTGGTCAAGTGTGGCTTGCTTAAAACTTCCTGACTTCCTGATGGCACGGCGATTTCCCCACACCTAGCCTCCACCCCTAACACACACACCTGAGCTCTGTGTTTGCTGCAAGGCCACACAGACCATCCTAACACATGTCCCTCAGGTGTTTTCCTTTGACCTTAGGTGAGTCTGAGCATGAGCTATGTCAGAGGGAAAACTGTATGAGGGAGCATACGCAAACACTAAGGAGCCTAGTCGGTGAAGATGCAGGAGTTTATGCTCTCTACTCCTAGGAGGTTTTTCTGGGCATGCCAGTGGTGACAGGTGAACCCCCAAAAGGCATGCTGTTCTTAAATCCAGCAGAGCATGCGTGCTTCCTTCCATCCCACATGAGTGATGCTATATTTTAGAAGACTTGAACTTTGTGCCAAGGGTAAACATTTGTGAAGTGACTTGGTCTTACAAGGAATTTTAACTCAAGATCATTTGCAAAATATTATTAGAACCCTATCTTTATGGAGCATATGTGTATGTGTGTGTATGTCTGCGCCCTCCCATGTACTGGTCACTCCTATCATTACTTTGACAAAATATCTGACAAAAGTAACTTATGGACAGGCCTATTTTGGTTCAGAGCTGATCTTAGTAGGAAAGTCATGGAACCAGAACAAAGGCAGCATCGTCAGTTGGGAAGCAGAGAACAATGGATGCTTGTGCTGAGCTAGCCTTCTCCTTTTTGTGCTCTTCAGAACCCCAGCTAAACATACACATTTAGGGCAGGTCTCAATCAACCTAATCTAGAAGAACGCTCTCAAAAACATACCCAGAACCTTTCCACAGTGATTCTAAATTCCAGCAGGCTGACAAGGAGCATCAGCCATCAGGATCTCTCAAAGCCTGTTGCTTTCCTAAAAGCACTCTTTAGGGAAACTAAGATTCTCTTGTCATGTAAACAGAGGAGCAGTGTGGAGAGCAGTGTAGCAAAGAAAGACCATCTGGTCTTAAAAATAGTA